GTAGCGTCCACAACATGGGAGATGTTGCGACCCGACGAGCTCGAAGCACCGGCGCCAGACAGCACCGGCCATGATGTTGAAGCAGCGGCTGCAGCAACTAGCATGCTCTGGAAGCACCGGCCATGTTGCCGCATGCCACGGCACCAGAGAAGCAGTGGCCACGACATAGGCGAATCCAGCGAGCTCACAGCACCAGTCATGTTGCCGAAGTAGCGTCCACAACATGGGAGATGTTGCGACTAGGCGAGCTCGGAGCACCAGCCATGTTGCTGAAGCATCGCTCGTAACATGAGCGATGTTGCGTTGGTCGCTTGATGGCAGCAGGTTTGCAGCAGCGGTCACGCTTACAAACGGCGGATGGATCAATTGCAGTTGTCGAAAGACCGAGAAAGATATAGACACGCATGAGAGAGACAGAGGCGAAGAAGGAGAGGCATCGACTCAAGCAGCGGGTGGAATAAAACGAATGGACAAGAAAATTCGGGAAAGGAGACAAGTATAAAGCCAGCTTGGGCCAGGTGCCAAACTCTGTAGGCGACGGGCGCAATCGTGGGATCAACCGACTGTTTTGAATGGTTTTCCTAAATATATGTATTAGAGATAAAAATAGGTTTAAATATTTTGCCTTGTACTTCAAGCCTATCCCTCTCTCATCTACTCTATATAATCCCTCATGAGGGACAACACAATAGAACACAAATATTCAACTATCCTATAATTTCTACATGATCGTGCAGCAACTGTGCAACCAGAAGATTGGGAGCTGCGAACGATGACCACCGGTGCTGCAAAACAGGGCAACTGCAGAAGACTGGGAACGTAGTGCTATGTGGCACCGACAAATGAAGTCGATGTGCTACAACCGGCATAACACAGTGTTTTGTTCTACGGTAAATTATATACAAACAGTCCAAGCAAACAAAAGTGATCACCCAATACCAGTTTTATGAAACATTTCAGTTAAATGTTCTGTAAAACCCAGGAGCTAATCTTGGCCGCTTTTGAATGTTTTTCTTTGATCTGTGCTGCCCAAAGTCCTTCTTGGAGGTAAAATTTCCATCCCTGAATGTGTGGTGCTGCTGCTCGAAAGATCTTATCATTTCTGATCGACCAAATACCCCAACAGCCCATCGAGACAATATCTAGTGCAATATCTGGAGGAAGTTGTGCCATGGCTAGCTGGAAGTCATCAAAGACGGATATGCCTCTAAGTTTGGAAAGAATGATGGATTCCCAACATTGAAGAGCAAAAGGGCAATTACAGAAGAGGTGGAGCAGTTTTTCCTCCGTGTTGTCAGAGCAGAGTGCACAATTGTAATCATTAAGATGCATACTCTTTCTGTTGAGAAGGTTTCTTGAATTGATCATGTCATGAAGTAGCAGCCAGATAAAGATCTTGTGTCTCAGTCTACAAGTTGTGTTCCAAATCTGCTTGAATATCGGGTGAACCAGACTGGGTCCTCTCATGTGGTGATACATTTTGATGGACGAGAAACCTTTGGTAGCTCCTAGAATGTGCCATTCATCTGAGATAGGTCTGTGCTGCAGCGGTTGGAGTAGTAGGTTATATTGATGAAAGTTGGTTCAGACATTGGAGTGTGAAAATGTTCTGACAAGTCAGGGTCACTCATAGCTGACTTCAAAGTTACAAATCCGTTCATTGCAAAAGAGTGTAGCTCAGGGAATTTGGTATCAAGTGACTGATCCCACCAGTTATCAGACCACAGAAGTGTAGTTTCTCCAGAATGTGCCTTGCAAATTGCAAATTGTTTATAGACTGGCAGTAGCCATAACACAGAGTTACAACTGGCGACAGTTTTTGCTAGGACTGACAAGAGTTTTAGCTGCAACTGGGGACGGTGAAGGATTTTTTTGCTACAACCTTCATTTTCTTTTGCTGGGACTAGCAAGTTTTTTTGTTGCGTTGGAGACGGCCGAAGCTGCAATTTGAGAGATGGCGGAAATTGTGGCCACAGGGAATGTTGGGACCAGCTACGGGGGAAAGCTAAAAGCAACACCAAAAAAAGCTTCGGCCGGGGAATGGTGGAAGCTGGGGCTGGCCACTGCGCTACAACCAACAGGGGCGGTACTAAGACTAGTGATGCTGGGAGCTAACAGGTCCGCGGTGACATCAAGGATGTTGCAACCGGCACAAGCTGGTACTGCTGACGACATTTCCTTGTGCTGGAACATTGGCGACGGCATGCTAGAACCAGCACAACCGCCTGCTACAACGGTGCGACCGAGGTGCTGTGACTTGCGGGTCGATTTGCTGGAACCGTTGGCACAATTTTCTGCATAGGGCGGAACCACGCGGGGGGGTATCAGCGCTGCAATCTCCAAGCAGGAGACTAAAGGGGGCAACGAGGCACTACCAAAGCTGTCACGGGAGAAAAAAGAAAGCGACTCGTGCAAGGGCCCATCTGACTTAATCGAGTGGTCTTGGAGGCGTCTATTGCACAGCTGCGTGGGTGACCGGCTGAAATTTGGATCGGTCGTCCCGTGCCTAGTGCTGGCCATTTTAATGAAGAGATGGATCACCAATACCGATAGGTACGATTGGTAACCCCAGGCCGGCCCTACGATTGGATTGTGAGTACGTACTCCTTTGTAGAGAAGTATAAAGGTGTTTAGATCACTAATAGTGATATGAACATTCTTATATTTCTTTACAGAAAGAGTATTACATATGAGTTGTCAAACCCAGCCCAACATATAAATCCGAGTCATCTAAGGCCAACTCTATCTGATTTCGGTTTTACTCCTCTAATCGGCACCTAGCCGATCCCCTAAACCAAACAGAGGAGAATAATTTTTACTCCGCCTCCTATTCGGCGCCTAAATATACTCGGCCGCTACCGCTTGGAGGAAAAAATTTGCCTCCCTCGCACCTCCCACCCCACACTGCCTCTTCGCCGGCGCACCTCCCGGTGACCGTCTGTCGGCCCCGCCGCTACCTTGTTGCCTCCCTCGGCCCTTGCCACCCTTCTAACTAAGTCGGAGCCCGTTTGCGGCCGTCGCCGTCGCCATAACCGATTCATTGGATTGCTCTCAGATCTTCTTCCTCTTTGGCGCCATCGCATCTCATGTTTGCTTGTGCACCATTGCAGGTCATTCCCATGCGTCGTCGCCCGCTGGTTTGTCCTAAATGAGGCCAGCCGGCCGGTTGACCACCACAGCACCACAAGTGTTCGACAGTTTGTCTAGATGAGTTTTTTGACTTTTTCCCTTTGTTTCGATTTGTTTTGTACACCCAAATTGAACCGAGTCATTTGAATTAAAGATGAAGAGGTTGAGGAAGATGGTCTTTGAGGACTCATCTTCAGCAAAAAAGAAAGAAGACGATGAAGACTTTGAAACCATTCTTGGCTTGATTTTCAATGATGATATTCGGCGGCCGAGGAGAGGACTGTCGTTTGGCCGCATACAACTCAACCGTGATAGAGTGGAGGGCCATGCCTAGATCATGAGAGACTACTTTGATCCAAATCCAAACTATCCGGAGATGTACTTTTGCCGTGCTTTCGGATGCACACAAGTTTTTTTATCACCATTGTCGTTGAGAAGTATGAGATTAGTTCAAGATTAAAAGGAATATATGTAGAGAAATAAGTTCAAGACCTCTGATGAAGTGCATTGCAATTGTTCGAGTTTTGGCATATGGGTGTTCGGCGATGCAATTGGCTGACTATGCTTGGAGGCCGTTCGAAGGTTCACTGGAGCAGTGATCGGTGCTTTTGGACTGGAGTACTTGAGGGCACCCAGCGAGGAAGACGCGGCTAATGACAGAGAGTGAAGCAAGAGGATGGCCAGGGATGCTTGGATCACTTGACTGTATGCACTGGATCTAAAAGAATTGTCATGCAGAGTGGAAGGGTTAGTACAAAGATCACTACATCAATCCAACAATCATTCTTCAGGCAGATGCAACAAAGGATCTTTGGATATGGCATTCATTCTTTGGTTTGCCTGACTCTCACAATGACCTGAATGTGCTGCCGAGATCACCACTGATTGCTAAGCTTATTATAGGAGATGCTCCTGCTTGCAACTATCCAGTTAATGGGCACAAATACTCGATGGGTTACTACCTTACGGATGGCATCTATCCCCCCATATGGGCCACATTAGTCTAAACAGTTCCACGTCCAAAACATAACAAGAACATTCACTTTGCCCAATGTCAAGAAACGGCTAGGAAAGATGTGAAGAGAGCCTTCGGTGTGCTTCAGAAGCGCTTTGCAATTGTTCGTGGCCCCACCAAGTACTGGAGCTCCAAGGTTCTATGGCAGATCACGACTTGTTGCATCTAACAACATCTCTATCGGATCTCTTCTAAAAGTCCAAAATGTAACCTTTATTTAAGAAAAAAAATATACTTGTTACGGTTTAAACTTTTCTACATTTAGTA